TGTCGAAATAAAGCAAGATTAGTTGTAAAAGGTTATTGTCAACAAGAGGGAATTGATTATGAAGAAAAATTTGCTCATGTCTTAAGACTCGAAGTGGTAAGAATTTTCTTGCTTATGCAGCTCACAAAGATTTTGACGTTTTCCAGATGGACGTAAAATGTGCATTCCTCAATAGAGTTCTTGAAGAAACAGTGTATGTCAAACAACCACCCGATTTTTTTAACGATATGTATCCTAATCATTGTCATATTCTCGACAAGGCAGTTTATGGATTGAAACAAGCACCTCGTGCCTGGTATGCAACTGTTACCAATTTTTTTAAATGGCTAAATTTAAACAATGATCTGTTGATCCTACTTTATTTCGAAAGAAACTAGGGGATCATTTGATGCTTGTTCAAATTTATGCCAATGACATTATAGTTGGTTCAGTTGATCCTTTATTGTCAAAAAAGTTTGAGGAGCTAATGAAAAGTCAATTTGAAATGAGCATGATGGGTAAGATAAATCACTTTTTGGGTTTGAATATTCGTCAATGCAAGGAAGGAATCTTTATCAATGAAGATAACTACACTCGAAATTTGCTTGAGAGGTTTGGGATGAAGAATTGCTTGAAAGTCAATGTACCCATGGTTGTTGGCACGTGCGTAAGTCCTTCGTTGGATAAGCATGTTGTCGATCTTACAACATATAGGATTATGGTAGGTTTGCTTTTGTATTTAACTAGAATTCGACCTGATATTATGTTTTATGTATGTAATTGTGCCAGGTATCAATCGAACCCAAGAGAACCCCATCTAACTTCAGTGAAGAATATGTTTCGATATCTTCAGGGTACAAAAACGTTAGGATTTTGTGGTATCCGGCGAAAACTAGATTCTTTATTCAAGCTTTTAATGATGCGGATCTTCGGGGTTGTCAATTGGATCGAAAGAGCACTACTGGAGGATGTCAATTATTGTACGGGAAACTTGTAAGTTGGCAATTGAAAAGGCAGACATGCATTTCTATTTTGACAGCTGAGGCTTAATACATTGTTGCTGTTGCGTGCACATCTCAAGTGATCTGGATACAAAGCCAATTGCATGACTATCCAATAAACATGAAGAAGATACCTTTGTATTGTGATTCACAAAGTGCTATTCGCATTTGTCACAATCAAGTTCAACATTCAAAAACCAAACATATTGCTCTTCGTTACCACTTCATAAAAGATCACGTTGAATATCGAAATATTGAAGTTCATTTCGTCAAAACAATAGATCAACTTGCTGATATTTTTAAAAAACCTTTGGACGAAAAATCATTTTTAAGAATTTTACATGGTTTGGGAATGATGGATGCATGTTCTGTTCCACATTTTACATAATTGCTCTGGATGTACGTTTTACCTTACTTTTGATTGTTTACATCACTTTCGATTTGTAGGTATGAGTTTAACTTTCGTTTCTTGTTTTATTCTTATTCATAGGTTATTGTTCATGTTAAGCGTTCGACTGCCTTCGCATTCGAGTTCATTCTAAATCATTCAATATCACTTTCGACATTCGAGTATAGAGGATGATTTGTAGTTATGAGTTTTAATTTTCGTTTCTTTTTGATGGATGATCACACTTACCATATCATGATTGGAACGAACAGATCTTGGTAACATTACTATTTACCTTATTATTTATTTATTTATTTATTTGCTTTCTATAAATCGAAAATCCAAAAAGATTTTCTTATTTTTGTTTTTTCTTTCTATAAATCAACAATCCAAACAAATTTTCTTATTTTTGTTTTTAATTTCTATAAATCAAAAATCCAAAAAGATTTTCTTATTTTTTGTTTTTCCTTTCTATAAATGAAAATTTCAAAATTGTTTTTGCTTTCTATAAATCCAAAATCCAAAAATATTTTTGTTTTATTTAAATTTGGGGAAAGTTATTGTAACAATATGTTGTACTTTCGCAAGCGACATGAGTATCTTCAAAAGGGAACATGTATGATTTGAAACTATAAACTAGTTAAGTGTCCCTAGATGCATGATGCAACATTTTATCCTCAAAGCCTCAAAGACTCTATGTGTTAGAAGCCTTAATGAAACTATCCACACGAAACATTCTTCCCAATCAGGCTATATTCACATTAGTCAACGAGCTACCTTTCTCCTCTCACAATGAGTAATGAGATTTCTACTAAGTCCAAAATTTTTGCAGAGGTACAATGAGTCTTTCTATCCAATCTTTTCCAGCCAACATTCTTTTCTATATCACACACAATGACGAATACCCAAGACATTTCTGGTCGAAACCTACCATGATATAGGTATGCCACAACTCTGTGTTAATGATCATGAATCATTTTTCTGTGATGATGGTGAAATCCAAAAAACTTTAACTTCAATGAATGGACGGCAAACATTCTTGTTCAATATTTTAACGAAAATTTTGTTTCAATGTACCAATTTTTGATGTTCAATATCGCATTTCATGCGTATTGCGTCATCTTGATAAAATTTACTAATCCTTAGTCATTTTTACACAACATATTCTAGTTTTTCATTTGATTATGAAATGCGATTTTAGTTTGAATATCTTTTTCTGCATTCTTAGTTACCCAAATTTTTCACAAGTCGACTTGTTCTTGAATACATTAGTCACCCAAGTATTTTTACATATTTTGTCACACTTATGTTAAGTTGTGAACTTATGAGAAAAGGAAACTACCTCCGAATCTAATGGAAAGAGGCCCTTCCATACTCCTCAAAGAGTTTTTCGATTGTACTACACAGGAAACCACACATGAAATTTGCCATCTTTCTTGATGTTGAATGAAGATATGTTTTCCTAGGATCACTCTATTTTCATATCAAATTATATTTAATATCACGATACCCACATTTTTTTCTTGCTTCTATCTCATTCTTTGGCACACGAAAGAACTGAAATCCTTGCGGTTTTGGGTATTACCAACTCGAAACTTAGATTTTGCAAAGACTGGAAAATGATTTTACTTATCCTTCCCAGAAGTGAATAAGCCTAGCCTCCATGACGAAGGACAGTTCTCTATTGATCATGAAACTTTTACGATCTTTCTTGGTATATCGAAACTTATGACGGTTCTTATTTGTGTGGGGGAAGTGAACGATCTGGTTTAAGTGACGGTTCAAGATTTACACAGGAATTTATGAGAAAAGTAATCATCACTTTTCAACGTGGCATTTTTCCATTAGGCAACGGTTTGAATTCGAAGTTCATGCCAGTCATATGAGGAAAATTGGTCTTCCGATTTTCAGTTTATGCTCTATCATTGGGGGTTTTCATTCAAAAATTCTTCCAAAAAATTATCTCAAATTGCTGCTACTCACCTCAATGTCGATCCAGTTACAACCAATGGAGACGAAATTTCCCAACTGATGATGAAGATTTTGTATAACAATCTACGTCTAATTCCATCTCTAGATGTGTATCCGAGTGAATTTCATCTGCTTGTTCACATTTTGAACGATAGTGTTCTTTCGTTTGCTTTATCTTGAATGTTTGAGATTCCAATGGAATGGTTATCTCTTGCTGCTTCTACGATTGTTTTGAACAAGACAACCAAAGTTCTCACTTTCTAGATTTCCTCTTCAAAGACAATGAAGTTCACTCGGAAGATGTTTGCCAAAATATCGAAGTTACCAACTTCAGGTAACTTATATGTAGTTTCCAATGATCAGGTCATTCACATATTCAATGAGATGCAACAAAAAACTTTTCTAGTGAATATTAGTTCATTTAAGAAGTTGAGCCTTCCCAGTATTTGCAGTTTTCTATTTGGGATTATGTTAAGGTGCTTGACAGGGAGGAGTTATGGGTTGGATAAAGCTAAACTAGAGGTTTATTCATTGCTGGCGGGTCTGTATGATGGTCTGAATGTAGACTATGCTTCACTGTTGTGGGAAGCATTTGGGACATCGATTTCGCATTGTAAACTAGCAACTAGAGTGGCGAGTGCTAGGTTTTGGGGGTTGATTTGAAGGAAATTTACAGTTAGGAAAGTATTCTTATTCCATCAGGGGTAGTTACAGATGAATTTCCCACAATGGCAGTTGCTAAGCTGATTGTGGATGATGTTACTATTTTTTTTGTTGTTGCTCGAATCCCTAATTCGATGCTCAATCTAGTGGACCCTAAGAATAAATGGTTGGTGGAGTATTTGGCTTCCATTTATTCGAATCCAACTGGTTTTCTTCCACTAAAGGTTTCTCAAAAAGGGGTCGAAGGTTTGTCAAAAGGGTCTAAGGTTCAAAAGATGAAGAAAAAAACATCCAAGCTCAAAGACGTAGAGAAGGATTTGGTTAAAGAGACTATAGCAACAAAGCTTGGTAACGGGGGACTCAAACGGACCAAGAAGCCATCCAAGAAAACTTCTGATTTTGCAATCATGAAACCTACTCACGAGCTAGAGCCAATTGTCAAGACTGTGGAGCCCATTGTTGTTGAAACTTTTGTTCCACGTACAGATATAATTACATAGTAAAGTGTACCAATTGGCAAAAAAGGCGGTTTAAAAAGAGTAAAGAAGTTACAGTTTACTTGAAGGGGAGTTGTCGTCCATGATATCTCGAGTCCTGGTTCCCCAACAACAAATAATCATCGAGTTATAGATGTTGTGAAAAAGATAAAGAAGAGAAAGAATGATCATGTTGAAATTCAACTTGAGGAAGTAACAGTCGAGGCTAAGAATGATAGTGATAGCGACAAGTCATACATTCAAATTGAGGATTCTTTTATTGGATCGCCACGAAAGGATACCCTTGTGAAATCGACTTTTGAGGAGACAAGTACTCCTGATTGTCACTGTAAACGTATCTGATACAGGTGAAAACATTGATTCGGGTGACCAACAACAAAGCAACATCCCTAAGAAGGCTTTAGTCAGCCCATCCGGGGTTTTATATACCGAGTCCTTTAGGGAGGAGTTGGAACTCCAGACATCACTATGAACTTATGTAATAATGACACAAATTTCAACATGAATGAAGGGATGATTAATCTCGAATCTACTGCCACAACTTCCATTGTAACTTCAACAGCTTTACCACCACCATTATCAACCATTCCTACTTTTGTTTCTGTTTCTACTGTCTTGGTGAGAACCCATCACAACTCTTTTCTCCTCATAATCAACTAAAAAGTCACATCTAGGAGACGAATAGGATGATGAAAATTTCATGGTTTCGTTTGTAGAGCTTCAATTCAATCTAGAAGAAAATGATATTCCTGATGAACTCATCATGTCAAGTAAGCATTTCATGATTCTGAACTCAAAGATCAATTATCTTCTTCAAATTACAGGTGATACTGGAGGGAGAAATTATGTAACTGGGGTTGAGATGGATTATTTGTTGAAAGATCAACAATCACAATTGTGGAATTTGATTGAGGGTGTTGAGCAGAAACAAGAAGAACGATTGGCTACTCATCAAAGTGTTTTAATTATGAGATGAAAAAGCATCATGATGTTTCTAAGGAACGTCATGAACTTTTTATGGAAAATGTGAATGCAACGAAGGAGTCTCTTGATTTCAAGGTTGTTGAGATAAAATATTTGATGTCGGAAAAAGTCAAGAAACTGGAGAGAAATTACCATATGTTGCATGGAAAAGTGGATGTCATTACTGATGCCATAACTCATTTGGTTGAGTTCAACAATGAGTATACAAAGCAGTTTCAAGCTAAGTCTGAGAAGGATGAAAAGGTCTTTGAGAAAGTGGAGGAATTATTGTCTGGGATTAAAGACAATTTATTGAAGATGGATCTTTCGAATCAATCTAACATATCTCAATGATTGTTTCAAATATTTAGTAGAACGTCAAAGTTGAGCTGGCTCCAATCCTTATTTTGGTACTTCGTTTACCAATAATGCTCATCGTATTACACAAGTTTCTCAAGGGGGAGAAACAGGAGATGGAAGAGCTGGATCTTCAGAAGTCTCAGATGATAATACAAGAGTCGTTGTTGGGAAGGTTATTTCGACTCAAATTCCAACAACACTTTTGATGAACCCATAATTGCTTCGTCGACAACAACTCCTAAGCCAACAAATGTGTCGAAAGTTCCATTGAAAGGGATTTTGATCAAGGAGAGTGAAAAAGGTTCGAGTACTTCTCTTTTCAAAACAACTTCAATTGTTGATCCAGAAGATAAAGGAAAGATCATTCTAATTGAACAATCAGATGAGGAAAAGAAGAAGTTACAAGCAGCAAAGTTGGAATGTCAAACTCAGATAAATAGCATTCTTCGAAAGAGGGAGAATGATCTGCAAGGCCTAAACAAATGTGACCCAAACAAGCACTGTGTTACCAAACAATACAAATAGCTTCTTGGGGAAGAATGATGAATTTCTCAGAAGACCGAAGAAGAACTTTGAGACTGAAAATTTTGATTTCAATCAACTCGATTTTCTAATCAATCATATGTTTTTCACATCTCCATAGTTCAAATTGGCAGATAACTTCAAAGACAAAAGCGAATAAAAAAGGTTGAAGATTCGCTTTCAAGCAATCTTAGGAAATAATAGACAAGATGTATGGTCTTTGGTGAAGATTGTGAAGGTGATGAAAATTGAAAAGGATACTATATTCGAGGGTTTACTTCAGAACTTCTGTTACTCTGTTGTAAGACCAAACAATATGTAGTTTGAGTTCACGATTGCTGATTTTCCCCTGATGAATTTGAATGATCTTATCTCAATCATGAAGATAATGATCAATGTGGATGTGTCGAAGATTCCGGAGATGAACATAAATGACTTCATTCTTGGATTTGGTCATATTAAGGCTTTTTTGGATTGCTACTATGATTACTTGACTATTACAAATATTGATCTGGCCTTAGCTATCAAGAAGTCTACGAAAGTGCCAAAAAAAACTCTGGCGAAGGCAAAATTGAATATTAATGAATTTGAAGACGGAGATAACATTCATTAGCTTCATGGTGTGGCATTCCGGGGGAAGAACAAGAGAAGTAATTTGACGAAGTTTTTCTTTAAAATCTCTAATCTGGAATGATATACAAATTTCCATTTCACAAACATTTTGATTCGAATAAAAAATTGCAACAATAATGATGATGGAGATAAGGCAGTGGTAAAGAAGATTAACTTATGGTATATGGAAATTCGAAGAGAGTTTATACATGCAATAAAGATTATAGCTTCATGTTTCGACTGTTCCCACTAAGGGGGTAATTGTAGAGTCAAAAGTTGTTTAGTGAGGGTCGAAAGCAGAATCTTTCAAGTAATGTCAGTTTTACATTCGACATAGTATCTATTTAAAAGGCATTGTATGTTTCGTTATATCATCTTTAGTCCTTGTACATTTTGAGTTTGTTGTATCCTATAAATAGGATAAGTACCTAGAGTTAGAGTAACGATTCGAACAATCAGTCAACTTTTTTTACTCTCTCTTTCTCTCTCTATTTCTTTCTTTCTATCTCTCTCTCTCTCTCTCTCTATCTCTCTCTCTCTCTCTCTCTCTCTCTCTCTCTCTCTCTCTCTCTCTCTCTCTCTTTCTCTCTCTATCTCTATCTTTGTGTGTGTATTCTTGATACAATATAATAAGCCAATCATATCTTATTTAGATCTCATGTCTTTGATTACTTTTGCGGAATTGATTAAGACATCTAATCTATTGTAACACACTTCAATACTAGATTGTTGGTATGAACTTGAAAGCTATTTTAGTACCTTATCAATGGCTAACTCCTTGGGAAATTGGACACCAAGATTCTCCAATCTGAATATTTATAGTTTCATCTTCTAAACCTGCGTACCCACATATGCTCCTTCTTGAAGATTTCACACCGTGAGGGACTTTATGATCTCGAATTGTTCCTACCTTGCCTACTCCTGAAACATTTTCTTGAGCAGGTAATTTATTTCATACACGCCAAGATTCTCAATGTCCTTTTGGAGCTCGGAGGACACGGTCGCTAACAGAAGGCAAGCAACCTTAGTCGACTCATCATAGTTCTTATCATATGCAACATGTTGATCATCAGTAGCATCATCAACAAGTTTTGGGATATGCTCATCCAAAATGTACTCTTTGTTCTCGTACCTTAAGGTGATCCTCAAGCTGCGGATCCAATCAAGATATTTGGGCCCATGAGTATCTCTCTTGATAGTAAGGAGAGGAATGAGAAGTTTGACTAAGGTAGAGGTGGAGGAGGAAGAGGTAGAGGAAGGTTGATATGATTAATCCTTAAAATTGTTACCCAAAACAAAATTATTTAACAAATCTAGGATCCATATTTCAATTTATGATTTGAAGAGGGACGTTGTAGTCACATCATGAAGATACCTAGGTAAGCAACACTATGTACCAATTTCAGTCAATATGAAATTCCTAGATCATTGAGATTTATTAACTAGGTTCAATGGCACGTTATCTCGACTATTCTCATATTAGTCCGTGATAGGATGTCGTGGATCAACCATGCACAAACACATGATTCCTGACTTAACATACGCTTGAGTATTACGAGTACCACATAATTTTCAACAATACTCTCAAATAGTCATGCTAGTGCACCATCCGGAGTTTTAAATACCGATTCCTTTAGGGAGGAGGTTGAAACTCCAGACATCACTGTGAACTTATCTAATAAGGACACAAATTTCAACATGGATGAAGGGATGATTAATCTCGAATCTATTACCATAACTTCCATTGTAACTTCAACAACTTTACCACCACCAACATCACCCATTCTTACTTCTATTTCTGTTTCTACTGTCTCACCGACATTTTTTGGTGTTATGCAAGAACCCATCGCAACTCTTTTCTCCTCACAATCAACTGAAAAGTGACATCCATGAGACGAATATGATGATGAAAATTTCATTGTTTCATTTATAGAGCTTCAGTTCAATCCAGAAGAAAATGATATTCCTGATGAACTCATCATGTCAGGTAAGCAATTCATGATTCTGAACTCAAAGATCAATTCTCTTTTTCAATTATAGTTGATAATGGAAGGAGAAATTATGTGACAGTGGTTGAGATGGGTTATTTGATGAAAGCTCAGGAATCACGATTGTGGAATTTGATTGAAGGTGTTGAGCAGAAACGTGAAGAACAATTGGCTACTCATTCAAAGAGTTTTGATTATGAGATGAAAAAGCTTCGTGATGTTGGTAAGGAACATCAAGAACTTTCTATGGAAAAAGTGAATGCAATGAAGGTGTCTCTTGATCGCAAGTTTGTTGAGATAAAATATTTGATTTCGGAAGAAGTCAAGAAGCGATAGAAAGTGGAGGAATTATTGTTTGGATTAAAGACATTTTATCGAAAATGGATCTTTTAAATCAATCAAACATCTCTCAAGAATCTATTTCAATGATGGTTTCGAATATTGATTCGAACATCAAAGCTGAGATAGCTCCAATCCTTAGTTTGGTACTTCGTTTACCAATAAATGCTCCTCATGTTGTGCAAGTTTTGCAAGGTGGAGAAAAAGGAGTTGGAGGAGCTGGATCTTCAGAAGTCTCTGATGATAATACAGGAGTCGTTGTTGGGAAGGTTATTTTGACTCAAATTCCAACAACAATTCTTATGAAGCCCATAATTGTATCTTCGAAAACAACTTCTAAGCCAAAAATGTGCTGAAAGTTCCATTGACAGGGATTTCGATCAAGGAGAGTGAAGGAGGTCCGAGTACTGCTCTTTTCAAACCAACTTCAATAGTTGACGGAGATAAGGCAAAGATAAAGACATACAAATTCCCATTTCACAAATATCTTGATTCGAATCCACAATTGCAATAATAGTGATGATGGAGATAAGGCATACAAATTCCCATTTCACAAATATCTTGATTCGAATCCACAATTGAAATAATAGTGATGATGGAGATAAGGCAAAGATAAAGAAGATTATCTTGTGGTATATGGAAATTCGAAGAGAGTTTATACAGACAATAAAGATTATAGATTGATGTTTCGACTGTTCTCACTAAGGGGAGATTGTAGAGTCGAAAGTTGTTTAGTGAGGGTCGAAAGGTGAATCTTTCAATTATTTTATGTATGTGTAGAAATAAGTTTTACTTTTGGCATAGTATCTATTTACAAGGCATTGTATGTTTCGTTATGTCATGTTTAGTCATTGTACATTTTGAGTCTGTTGTATCCTATAAATAGGATAAGTACCTACAGTTACAGTAACGATTCCAACAATCAATCAACTTTTTGTACTCTCTCTCTCTCTCTGTATTCTTCAGAAAATATAAAGAGCCAATCATATCTTATTTATATCTCATGTCTTTGATTACTTTTTCTAAATTGATTAAGACTTCTAATCAATTGTAACACACTTTAACACTAGACTGTTGGTATGAACTTGAAAGCGATTTCAGTACCTTATCAATGGCTAACTCCTTGGGAAATTAGACACCAAGATTCTCAAATCTGAATATGAATGATTTCATCTTCTAAACATGTGTACCC